GCTGGTGGGGCTGGGGGTGGGCTCCTCTCTGGCTAACTGGCCGTGGTTCATTGCCTTGCTCCTGTCTCCCTGCCACCCTGAGCATGGCGCTGCTGGAGGGGGTTCTGCTCAGCTTCTGCCCATTTCTCCCCCACTTCTCACACCCTCCTGTGCCACTTCTGGAGGATTTGGGGCCAGGCCAGAGGGCAGCCCTTTGCACTGCACTGTTTCCATGCCCTTTCTTACTAGATCACCCATGAGCGAAGGCCTGGAGGAAATGGCGGTGGCAGCTTTCGGTGACCCCAGACCAGTGCTGTGCCGCCAGCCGTCCTGTCTGCCACCCACCAGCCAGCCCCAGCAGTGCCCAGGGCTTACTTTAGGATCTCCCTCTTTGGTTTCTTTTTACTCATGTGACACAGCATGGTCCCAGGAGGGAAACTGTCCCCTCTGCTCTGTGCGCTGGCCTCTGCTCCCACCCACCCCCTGACCACCCCTGAGCAGTGGAGAAGAGAGCAGCCGCTACCAATACCCACGCTCCGGGGACCAGGTGGGAAAAGAGGAGGAGGAGGGAGCAGGCAGGGTGGGGAGGAAGGAGAGACAAAGCAAAAGGGCCCACTGATGTGCGCTGGACACAGGGGGAATGATGGAAAGAGGAGGAAACGGGCACGAACGTGTTTGGCAAATTAAAGCTTCTCCCTTTGTTTTGCTGCTTTGCAGATAGCTACAGGAACACTTAGTGCAGAGCCCGGGGTCTGGATAAGCAACTCTTTTAGCAGCAGGAAAGGTTGTTAAATATTTATTTGTAAACCTGGAGTCTTTATCTCTAAAATGTAGTCAAGTTCAATAAAATTTGATTTAGCTGGAGCAGCTCAGAGGAGACGAAAGCAGTGACTGCGAGAGCTGCATCTTGGCAGCTTTGTGCAAAGCCAGTGGGGCAGAGATGGGGGTGAGCCCATGGGGGACCCGCACCCATACCCGCACTCGCACCGCAGCCCCTTGTGGGTGCCCAGTGCTGCTGGGGTCAGGCTCGCGTCTCTGTGGAGCCGGGACCCCCAGCCGTGCTGCCCCGGCGTCGCAGCAAGGTCAGCTCCTGCAGGGATGGACGGGCTGGGGACGTGGGCTGCCCCCCCGCTCCAGGGATATGGCTTGCTTCGTCCTAAATTGCCTGTTGTCTTTGATGCTCTCAAAAGCATCTGGTTCAAGGGTGAACATCTCCCACACTGTAATTTATGGCTGCCAGGTGGGGGTTATAGCTGACTCGGGGATTTTTGCCGCTTGTTCGCTGTCAGCATGGCAGATCACTTGGTGCAGAGGAGCACCAGCCCAGCCCCGACCGCTGGGTACCCCTGGGGACAGCCCGGGGACAGCCCAGGGACAGCAGCGACAGTGGGGGGCACGGCCAGGCGCGCTGCCCACCCCTTGGGGCAGGAGGGCAGCAGCAGCCTCGGGAGCACACCCAGGTACAGAGCCTGGGCTCCCTCCTGGGTCATCGCCTGGGTTTGGTTTCCCTGGGGCTGTCCCTCCCGCACCGGGGCAGCCTGCGCCCATCACGATGGAGCGAACCCCGCTCACGTCAGCACTCCAGCCCGGCCCTGCGCTGTGTTTCCAGGCAGAAGCCCAGAATAGCACCTTCCTTCCCAGTGCTGAGCCCAGCCGGAGACACGCAGCAGGTCCTGCTGCATTTAGCACCAAGGCAACGCGGCTCCAGCGCGCCCGTCTGCGCCTCTCGGGCCAAGTCTAACAGCTTCCCCGGGGAAGGGGTTGCACTTTGGAGCCCTTGTCCCCAGGCAGCAGGATGGCCAGGGCAGGGGTCAGTGGATGCCATGGCTCTGGGCATGACTTTTTTGCTTTGGTTTGCACTGGTTTGCTCATTGCCTAAAGGCAGCGAGTCTGGCAGCTGCTCCTTTCTTATCGATTCTTTTTTTTTTAATGAGAGCCACGTTCATGCCCAAGGGCTGCAGATCTCCCCGGGCTGGCCTGGCCTGTGCATCATGGCCATGCAGCCTGATCCTGCCTGGCAGCTTGTGCTGGGGCCATGGCCGGGCACCTGGAGGGTGCTCAGGTACATTTCATGGTCCTCCTCCTCCTCCTCATAAATATGGGAGGGCTTCAACGTAGCCTTTGTCTCGGGCACTTCCCAGTTCCCTGCAGGGCAATTGCTGCGAGCAGCCCCCGGTGGCACCAACCCCTGTCCCCAGAGCCACCTGTGCTCACCCGAGGCAGCTGCGGTGCTGTGAGCTGGCAGCCATGAGATGGCCGAAAGCACAGCCCTAACTTTGGGCTGAGCTTTGCTGATGCGACGCGAGTCCAGCCACTGTGGGGGAATGCACGCCGGTCGCTGTAGAGCCACGTGCAGGTTGTCGACCTCAGCGCACACGAATGAAATGAAAGAAAAATCCTGATTTGAGTAATTTTTAGAAGGGCATCTCTTAATATCCACCTTACCTTGAAGCACGAATATTTCTCTCTCAAACAGCCAGAGGTAAATGGGAACCAGAAGTGATTTAAAGCTCATCTTAGCCCAGAATTTTTCAGCTTATTCATTGTCTTTCTCCCAAAGCTCTTCTGTGACTCTGGCTATTAAGATTACGGATGTTTTTGTCAGGGATTGTATTTATCACAGATTTAAATTTAGCTGAGGACTAATAACATGTGAGGTGTGTCTAGACTTCAATTCTACGTGCGTGAGCTGGTCTCCTCGTTAAGGCCATGCAGATTTTGCTTCGTTCAGCTATCACTACTTTGCCGAGATTGTAGCCATTGACACCGCATCGCTCCCAGCCGCCCTGGCCACCACTCCACCGAGGCTGGTGGGGGGACAACAGCACGGAGCCAAACGTGTTGCAGGCACAGCCCCCTTCCCGCTGGTGGAGGGGCAGAATTCGGCCTGGGGAGGCGCGGGCTGGTGCAGGAGCCGCGCGCGGGGCCTTGCAGCAGGATCCAGCACTCGCCCCCGCCCCACGCCCAGCAGGGACCAGCGTGCGGCTGCACGCACGGGCAGAGCTGAAATTTCAGCACAGAACACAGCCAAATAAGGCCTGCTGCCTGGCACTCTAATGAGCTGAAGGCTTTTCAGCCCTGGTATAATTAGGCCGCTTAGGCTGTATTTTGTTTTGCATGCAGTGTTTTGCTTTCTTTGATGGCTTTCTCAGCACAGCTGTGAGGAGCAGGAATTGGCTTCTGAGAAACACCGGCCGAGGGAGGCTGCGAGCGAGCCGGCATGCATTGGCAAGCGGGCCATGGGGGTGGCAGGGCCACCAGCGCCTCATGGGTGGGAGGACAGGGCATTCGCTGGCCACGTGCTGCCCGTGGGAGAGGCAGCACTGGTGGCGTGGGCACCCCGGGCAGCTCAGCCCCAGCCAGGGCTGCGGCACGAGCCTGGGGAGCAGATCCATGTGAGCCCTGCCAACCAGTGGTGCCGTCCCGGCCCTGGGGCACCAGCACGTCCCTCCAGCAATGGTAGCAGCAGCCCCACTTGTATTTGTAAGGCTGTCCAGCACCGTCAGCACTCGGGAGACGATGACATGGAAGGTGATGAATTGTAAACACCCAGCAAATGGCCCTGCAGCCCGGCCCGGGCCCAAGCAAACCCACTGGAAATGTTTCCACCGGACTGGGAGGTGCTGGCCCAGGGCTGGCAGGAGGGAGCTCAGCACCACTCCCAGGGGAGCTGTGCGGGATCAGGTCCTGGCACCACACCCCTTCATTTTGGGGGTGACCTGCTTTGGGTGGTCGCCAGCGACCAGCCCCACTGCAGCGGTAGCAGGTGAAGGGGATGGAGAAGGCCAGTGAGCCGGGACAAAACTGCAGGAGGATTTCTTTGGGGAATCCAGGACCTCACAGCCAGACCGCCTGCTGTGCCAAGGCCTGGTGGTTTCCGAGATGGTACTGGGGGGACATTTTTATGGCCAGTCCATCATCTTTGATCTTTGCATCTTGCAAAGAAATCTTGAATAATTTTTTGAGAACAAAAGTTATACTTGGGTCATATGTCTGTATGAAATGATGAATATAAACAGACGTGATGGAAGTAATGCACAGAATGCGTACCAGACCCATAAATAGTGCCAGAGCAGGGAAAGTAATGCACAGGATATATAATGATGGATACAAACGGAGCCAATGGAAGTAATGGATTGAGCATATTCAGCGATAGCCATAAATAGCATTAGTGGAAGCTGTGCAGAGTGCACACATAACAATAGATTTAAGCACGGTCCGGAGTAGCTGTACATCTAATATGCAATATTAATATAATTTGATCCCTCATAACAGCTTGAACAACAAGGAAATAAATGCAACAGAGGCAGCGTGACAGGGAGCATTCGCTCCTGCCTGCCGACGGGCCATGGCACAAGCCAAACCATAACCCCTGAGCGGGGCCCCCAGCCCTCCCCAGGGAGGGCAGCAGGAGCTGCTGTTTCTCAGCGGGTCTGCACCTTGTGGGCAGGCATGGCGGGAGGCACAGGACTAACCCCGGGGACACACACCGAGACCAGGCACCTGGGAGAGCATGGAGGAAGGGGGCTGGTTCCCGCAGAACTGTCACCGTTGCTCCCCGCTCAGACACCCCGACCCCAAGCAGGGTTCCCCCAGATGCTCGATCCCGTGCTCAGCTCCTCTGCATTTGCAAAGCAGCCTTTATATTCAGGCTCCATCTACAGGGAATGGAATAATTTCAAGAGCTTAAAATAGGATGCAGATAGATGTGTTTAGTATTAATTTTTTTTTTTTTTAAGCAGCTGAGGAAGCGAGGTCTGTCTGACACAGATTCCTCAAGGCTTTCCACTCAAAGTCAGTGCACGTTCAGTTATCAAGTGGAAAGTTGGGGGCTGGGGAGGAGAGATGGTCTTGCAGCCAAAAGGCTGGATTTCAGCTGGAAAATGAGAACCTCTGCTCTGCCTCGGCAAATGCCTTTCACCTGAACATCAGCTCTACTGGGACAGTAAACCTTTTGCCATGGTCATGTCCATCGTTTGCTCACGTCCACCTTGCTTTTCTCTCCCCCGTGTTACCTGCAGGTGAGAGATAGGATGGTAGCTGGGGAGGCGAGTATGCGCAGCCCAATCCTGGCCTGCTGGCAGCCAATTCTCCTTCTGATGCTGGGATCCATGCTGCCTGGCTCTGCCACAGGCTGCCCACCACGCTGCGAGTGCTCTGCCCAGGAGCGTGCCGTCCTGTGCCACCGGAAGCGATTCATGGTCGTGCCAGAGGGGATCCCGACTGAGACCAAGCTGCTGGACTTGGGCAAGAACCGCATCAAGACACTCAACCAGGATGAATTTGCCAACTACCCTCACCTGGAGGAGCTGGAGCTAAATGAGAACATTATCAGTGCCATTGAACCTGGGGCTTTCAACAACCTCTTCAACCTGAGGACGCTGGGGCTCAGGAGTAACAGGCTCAAGCTGATCCCCTTGGGAGTGTTTACCGGACTCAGCAACCTTACCAAGCTAGACATTAGTGAGAACAAAATTGTGATCCTCCTAGATTACATGTTCCAGGACTTGTACAACCTGAAGTCTTTGGAGGTGGGGGACAATGACCTTGTCTACATCTCCCACCGGGCCTTCAGTGGCCTCAACAGCCTGGAGCAGCTGACCCTGGAGAAATGCAACCTGACCTCCATCCCCACGGAGGCCCTGTCTCACCTTCACGGCTTGATTGTGCTGCGGCTGCGCCATCTGAATATCAACACCATCCGGGATTACTCATTCAAGAGGCTGTACCGGCTCAAGGTCCTTGAGATCTCACACTGGCCCTACCTGGATACTATGACATCCAACTGCCTCTACGGGTTGAACCTGACCTCCTTGTCCATCACCCACTGCAACCTGACGTCCATCCCGTACGTGTCGGTGAGGCACTTGGTTTACCTCCGGTTCCTGAACCTGTCCTACAACCCCATTGTCACCATTGAGGGCTCCATGCTCCATGATCTGCTCAGGCTGCAGGAGATCCAGCTGGTGGGAGGGCAGCTCACCACAGTCGAGCCCTTCGCCTTCCGCGGCCTCAATTACCTGCGCATCCTGAACGTGTCGGGGAATTTGCTGACCACCCTGGAGGAGTCGGCCTTTCACTCAGTGGGCAACTTGGAGACGCTCATCCTCGACAACAACCCCTTAGCCTGCGACTGTCGGCTGCTCTGGGTTTTCCGGCGGCGATGGAGGTTGAACTTCAACAAGCAGCAGCCCACCTGCTCCACCCCCGAGTTCGTCCAGGGCAAGGAGTTCAAAGACTTCCCTGACGTCCTCCTGCCCAACTACTTCACCTGCCGCCGAGCACGGATACGGGACCGCAAACCTCAGCAGATCTTCGTGGATGAAGGCCACACCGTCCATTTTGTCTGCCGGGCAGATGGGGACCCGCCCCCCACCATCATGTGGCTCTCTCCCCGGAAGCACCTCATCTCTACCAAAACCAATGGGCGGCTCACTGTCTTCCCTGACGGCACGCTGGAGGTGCGCTACGCCCAGATCCAGGACAATGGCACCTACCTATGCATCGCCAGCAACGCGGGTGGCAATGACACCATGCTGGCCCACCTGCACGTGCGCAGCTACTCCCCAGACTGGCCCCACCAGCCCAACAAGACCTTTGCGTTCATCTCCAACCAGCCCAATGAGAGCGATGCCAACAGCACGCGCGCCACCGTGCCTTTCCCCTTTGACATCAAGACTCTCATCATCGCCACCACCATGGGCTTCATTTCCTTTCTGGGGGTCGTCCTCTTCTGTCTGGTGCTCCTCTTCCTGTGGAGCCGGGGGAAAGGCAACACCAAGCACAACATTGAAATTGAGTACGTGCCGCGCAAGTCCGACGCGGGCATCAGCTCTGCCGACGCGCCGCGCAAGTTCAACATGAAAATGATTTAACCAGGCAACAATTTGCAAATAATAATGGTGGTGTTTTTTTTTTTTTTAAAAAAAGAACAAATAAACAAATAAAAAATAATTAAAACATTGCTACAAACATACCGACCTCTCTCCTTCCACCACGCCCTCCGCCCCTGCCCAAACCCACGGCACCCGCACTGTCACCACCTCTTTCTCCTCCTCTTCTTCTTTATACCAGGAAAACATTCAGCTGACATCTTCAGGACTCCTGTGTTTGTAAGGACTTTGTCTGATGGACTCTGGTGTCAGATATAACTCTGAGAGGGAAAAACAACAGAGGGGGGGAAAAAAGAAAGAAAAAAAAGAAATAAAATCAATAAAAAGTTACGAACTTTCTTCTGTAACTTTGATTTCAATAATTATGGATTTTTATGAAAACTTGAAATAATAAAAAAAACCCTATTTCCTATAGATAGTTGGAATGCAAAATCTTGACTTCTTGATCTGTCCAGTTCTGTATCTCTGGCGAGCGCTTGCTTTCTCACCTCAGAGGCATTTCCAGCCGCCTCCCTAAGAACAGCCCCAGGCCAGAGCGAGTCTCCTGACGACGCCAAAGGTTCGCGCTGCTGCAAAAGGCACTTCCTGCGTGTCTCGGGCCCTGTGCAGCACCGAGAGGAGTTTGACCTTTTTTCACAAGGACCAGTCACTTGTGGTTTTATAGCCAGTTCCCCAGCCGCCCCCAAAGCCCAGGGGAGCGGGGCCGCAGCGATGCTGTGCGTGAGCGGTACGTCGTGGGGCCGTGTGTGCCTGCCATCTGCGTGCTGAGGACGTGGAGCCCCATTGCAGGGTGGCCTGCAAGGCAGGCAGCAGGGCAGGCTGCAGCTTGCTGAGCCTGCTGCCCCCGGGCCGAGAGCCAGCAGGGCCAGGCTTTGCCCGGGCAGTGCTGGCAGCAGGACTGGGGGTACCTGGGGATCCCACCGCCTCTTACCTGGGGAGAGGGCTTTCTGCCTGCCCTTGCCAGCAGCACAGCGGTGTCTCCTCTCCGATGGGGGACAAGCTGGCTCTTGTGCTATGGACATCTGTCCCTGCGGGCAGGGATGCTGCAATTCCATTAGCGCCCTCGCTGGCAGCACAAGTGGCAGTGCCCGCCCGGGTGCCCACAGCCCCTGGTACCTGGTGACCCAAGCAGCTCCAGCACTGCTCCCCACCTGCCTGTAAGGACTCTCACGGTGTTTTTCGGACCTGACCGCTGGCAGCCAGCCTTGCAAGCGCCTTCAGGCACAGCCAAGGGAATTTAGCTTCCAGGCTTGCAGGAGACCTTGTCTGAAAAAAAAATTATATGTGTTTATAACACACATACACACACAGCCTGAGCCAGAGGAGAACAGGCACAGTGCCGCAGCAGGGAGGCAAGGGCTGCCCTGGTGCTAGCTCCAGCGTGCCCATCACCATGGTGTCTGGTCACCAGGCAGCAATCCCTTTACTCACCTCTGATACTTGGGATCAGGAGCTCTGGGAGGTTTGTATCATCTCAAGGAGGAAAAGGGGAGGAATGTGGGGTAAGGTGGCTGCCGGGCAGGGCCACGCTGAGCAGTGCAGCCCTTGCAGGAGAGGTGTGACAGTGTCACCCTGCCCCGTGACCAGAGCTACTACAGCAGTGAGACATGGCACAGGCTGCAGAAAGCGTCAGCATAAAAGTGTTGTACAGCAAGTGGATTAAAAGGAGCAAGTCAGGAGAGCAACCACAGAGGGAGAGTGACATTAAGAGACACAGAGCGATGGGGAAAGAGATGTCTCAAGTCAAGCCTTGAAAATAAGAGGCGCATCACCGAGCAGCTCAGCCCTTCCCCGGTGGGTTTGTGCCAGCTTCCCAAAGCCCAGAAGGTGCAAGGTTTTTATAAATGCTACTGAAGCAGCAGGCGCTTCCCATCCTTCCCGGCTGCCACCAGGATTGGTGGCACCGCACCGGCAAGCAGCTTCCTGGCCCACCCAGCCTGGGCGGCACCTCCAAGGTGGCTGAGCCAAGATTTGCATGCTTGATTTGTAAAGCACTTCAGGAGTCTTCAGGGATCAAAGTCACTACAAGATGATATAAAATAAGCGACAGGAACCTGGAGCGCCGACAGGGAAAAGAATGGATTTGCCTTTCTTCCAGCAACATGCTAGTCTAGAAGAACCAACCTGAAACATCTGTGCTCTTGGGGAGGGGGGATTTTTTGCCAGTTTCAGCTTTCTATTCATCTTCAAACAAAACATTTTGTGTTTCTTTCTCTGCAGCAGGTTTCAGGAGCTTTGATTTATTAGTTTCTCATCTCTAACCCATCTTTTCCTTTATAACTTTGAAACCAAACCATTTTTTTAAAGCCTTTTGCTTCTGTTTTGCTTTTTAAAAAAGCCAAAGCGAAAGGCTTCTTTGCGAGCTTCCCCTCCCACCAGTGTTTAACCAACATTTTCAGTGAGCTAAACATGAAACCACAAACAGCGATGCACAAACCTAGGCCCAAAGGTGAAGGCATGCGTGCTCAGATCCTGCTCCGGGGACCCCAAGCACTGGCTGGGAGCAGCGCTCCCCTGGGAGAGGCAGGGATGCGCCAAGGCCTCAGCCCTCCAGAGGAAGATGCCAAGCCGAGCGCAGCCCAGAAAGCTGCACACAGTGGTGCGTTAGGTGCAGAAATCTCAGCTTGAGCCTTGTTGCCAGGACTGACAATAACTCAATCAGTGGTTCAACAGACGGCAGAGAAGTGGAGGGGAATCTCCGTGTTCCTGGACAGCTATTAATACTGGCAATCCGAAAGAGCTTCTTAATTGACTTCAGTTATCCTTTTTTAATGCTGTAATTAAAAGAGCTAATTCAACACATACAGATTAAAAAAAAAAAAAACTAATGACCAAGTCCAACAAGGTATTTGCAGCACACTACAGTGTCCCAGCAATCAAAGGGAGGAATCAAGTCTTTCACTGTTAAAAAGAAGCTTTAAAAAAAGAAAATAAGAGAGCAAATTATTTCTTTTCTGTATAATGTCTTGGGCTGTGCTAGCACAGGATTTTTCCCAGCCCAGGACCTGCAACTCAGACCCACATGTGCCCCAGACCCACGTGTGCCCCAGACCCATGTGTGCCCCAGACCCACCGCCTCTGCTGCTCAAAACTCAATGATCTTAAAGGTCTTTTCCAACCAAATGATTCTATGATTCTAAAGCTGCGCTGCCTGCCCTGCACCCGAGCCGTGGCTCCAAGTCCCTCATTAGCGGGTTTGCCTGATGCTCTGTGGCACTGCTGCCTGCCACACAGTCTATTCTCCACACCAAATTTTTAATCTTTGATGCTTTGTGAACTGGATAACTTTTTTTTCTCAGTCACCGTGTGATTAAAGCAGATGGATGGAGCAGAAGAAAAGCATCTCAGAGTGGCTGGCATCTCAGCTCAGCAATTTTCATGGCTGGTAAAGATGGGGGAGAAAACCTCCAAAGAATAAACTCTTTTTCTCTCCTTTGCTGAAATTTACAGTGTGTTTCTTCTGCAGTTTAATCAGGGATGAGGGAGCAGGGCTGGGTTCCAGCATTACTCTTCAGGTGACCGTGGGCTATGTTTCAGAGCCAGACAGCTCTTCTCACTTGGGGTTTGCTTTTTTTTAAATAAGGATAAATAAAAAGCACATAATAAAACAGCTTAAAAGAGGTAGGAAAAAAACCCAGGAAGAGGTGTGAAACATGCCTTATCTCCCCTGCTTCCAAGACCAATGGGATCTCCATGACTGGCACCGTGGGTCAGGGTGTGGACGAGGGGTTATTCAGCCCTTCCAGCCTGGGCACATCACCTGCCCCAGGCACCTCCCTCTTCACCAGGCTCCACGATTCCCCCCACCATGGGCTCTGGCTGGCAGGCACCGGCTTCTGAGGTAGGAGCGGAGTTATGAGCATCCCGCAGGAGAGGCGTTTATCCCCAGCCCTCCCCATCAATCCCCCTCCCTGGAGCGCCACGGGCGTGTAGAGCAGTGCAAACAGCCAAGTCTGAGATCGATACCTGTGCCTGCACAGGGGTGATGAGTAGGGCTCGGGCTGCCCTTCCTTTCCATCCCTGCACCCCGCAGCCCCCTGGGCTCTCTGCCCACAACCCCTGGCTGCGCTGCCTTCCCCCATTCCTTCAGGCCTTATCACGCTTAATTTTACTCCTTCTCTTGCTAACTGCCCTCCCTCTCTTATCTCTGCTTCAGAGTAAATTTTTTACTCTCCTTTTCCCCCCCTTATCACTCTCTCTTTATTTTTAAAAATACTTTCTGCCTTCTGTGCTTCTCCCTCGCTCTCCTGCCATTGCTCTCTGTCAGGTGCTCTTCTCTGCTTCCCGCGGTCCCCGCTCCGCACACACATTTCTCCCCCACGTCTCTGCCTCCCTCCTCCCTCGCCAGGGTCCCATCCTGCTCCCCCCACGGCAAGCAGCACAGAGGAGGAAAAAACCTTCAGGCTTCACCTCCCTTTCTCCTTTCTCCCTTTCCTTCCCTCTCTTCCCTACCCTCCCGCCTTGTCCCCCTTTTCCCACCTCCTCCTTCCTCACTCCCTGCCCCGGCTGGTTTGGCATGGGCTGTGCAGTGCTATCCCAGCTACCAGGTTTTTGGAGGACAGGGCAGAGGAGGAAGGCTTTGAGGTGCGGGGGCTCAACACCCCAGAGGAGTCGGCTAAGGGAGCAGCCGTGCTCCCCGTCTCCCTGGCCTCACCGTGGGTACATGCAGCTCCTCTAGGAAAAAACAGGCCTATCGCTTGCCTCTCTTTTTCCTGGGTCCGTATCTGCATGCTTATGATAGATTTACTGTGATTCTATCGGTTTATGATTAAAACCCATAAATTTTACTAGGGCTTTTTCTTATTTTCCATAATCCACAGGATTCAAGGCAATCAAATTTTAACTGGAAAGCATGGGCTGTGCAGTTAGGTCCCAGTGTAATGGGGAACGGTTCATTTCCCAGTCCACCCCCATTACTGGTAGTACTAAAGAAATATTGCCCTGTGAAAGAGATTTTTCCTCAATTCCCTTTAAAACAACAT